GGTGGCAGCATCATGATGAAGCACGGTGGTGGCAGCATCATTGCTGTAGAAAGTATCAGATGTTTGAGCTGCTTTTCTATGTTCCAAAGAAAGAAACAGAAAAACTACTGTAAATATCAAACTGTAAAACATTTAATGAAGTCTAATGGTCCCAATGTGAGCTTGAATTTTGGAACAAACACATACTGATGATAAATCTGCGAACCACTGAATGAGTGAGACAAGCAGCATTCAGTTCTGTTCTTGTGGTTCAGTTCAACGTTCACTGAAACACGACAGACTGAGTTGTTGCTGAGACACAAACCACAAAATTAAACATTCATTTTATGGCTTTTCGGGGTTTTCTTTAGAAGTTGTTTTGTGCAGAGTGGAAACTTTCTGTTCCTGAAACCTTTAAATATGTCCTCATTACAGATGCTGCATATCAGAAAACAGAAGCTCCGTTCTTGCTGCTACGATGTGCCGGATGATATCTGGACCAGAAGGAACTTCGCTCGACGACTGCTCAAAACCACCAACAGAGTCTGGCCACGTCCAGGCTTTAGAAACACAGATGGAGTTTGTCATCATCACCTTGAAAACACGACAAAAGCAAACTAAACTACATTAAATAGACACTAAACGCCGCAGATGAGACACAAAACTGCAAAAACGAATAAAAATGAGACAAAAAAGAAAAAGAAAACGAGGCAAAACTGTCCCAAAGAAACAACAAAAATGCCAGAAAATGGCACAAAATGAGAAAAAAGAGGCACAAAATGATGGAGGAGAAGAAAACAGGTGACAAAGACACATGAAGAACCACAAACTTGTCATTATGAACATATAGAACCAACATCTAGAACCTCTGAACACCAGTTCTGTTTCCTGTCAATGAGTCCACATCAACATTCAGTCTAAATGTCTACAATGTGGAACCTATATTTTCCTTTTTTTTTAAATTAATTTGCTCAACAATTGGATATTTTAATGACAGCCTCCATAATCAGATTATTTGATCTACTCGTCCAGATTTTGAATCAATGACTTGATGAGAAATAACAGTAAAAAAAAATTCAGGTTTTTATCTTCAATAGTTTCTGAGATGTTGTTCAAAAAACACTGATGCCTTTATTCAGGAACATCTATAAACTTGTCTTCTTTTGTTTAGGGGCAAAAATATTCCACAATAACAGCAATATTAGTAGAAACAAGATCAGTTCTTTAGTGAATCTGGAGGTTCTGCTCAGTGTTTGTGGGATGTTGGTTCAGATCTAAAAGCTGCTTCATCAGCTGATCAGACAAACTAAAACCGTAAACTCGCTGAGTTTCTGGACTCTGAGGAGGAAACATTCAGCAGACGCTCAGTTGTTGCCGAGACTCCGAACTAACCACATACATAAATATTCAATTTCTGACTTTTTGGGGTTTTCTTTAGATGATATTTTGTGAAGTGGAAACTTTCTGTTCCTGAAACCTGGAACTGCTTTTTTTAAATCCAGAGTTCAACCAACTCATGTAACCATCAGACACAACAGCGTCAGTAATTATAAAAATATAATCATTTTTATGTTAAAGTTACGACTCGACAAAAACACACATGAAAACACATCGAGTCTGTGTGTTGTTTTGTGGTTTTTGTCCGTTTCATTTTGTATTATTGAACAAGAGTTTGGACGTACCTTCTCATTCAATGGTTTTGTAGATCAATACTGCAGGTGGAGCAGTTGGTAGCACTCACAGTCTCACAGCTAGAAGGTCGCTGGTTCACGTCCCGGTGAGGACACCCGGGATCTTTCTGCGTGGAGTCTCCATGTTCTCCCTGTGCAGCGTGGGTTCTCTCCGGGTTCTCCGGCTTCCTCCCACAGTCCAGAAACATGCTGAGGTTAATTGGTGATTGTAAATTGTCCGTAGGTGTGAATATGAGTGTGCTTGGTTGTCTGTCTCTAAGTGTAGCCCTGTGATAGACTGGTTACCTGTCCAGGTGAACCTGCCTTCACCCTGAGTCAGCTGGGATAGACTCCAGCCCCCCATGACCCTGGTGAGGGTTAAGGTGTAGAGATGATGGATGGATGGATACTTTGCTTTGATGACACACTCTGGGCGTTCTCTCAATCTGCTTCATGAGGTCGACTCCTGGAATGGTTGGTTGCTTTTACTTCATTCTGCGGTCCAACTCATCCCAAACCATCTCATTTGGGTTCAGGTCGGTTGATCGCTGAGGCTCCATCTTGGTCAAGTAGCCCTTACATGGCCTGGAGGTGTGTTTGGGTTCATTGTCTTGTTGGAAAACCCAACGATGGTCCCAGTAAACCAGATGGGATGGTGCTGCAGAATGCCATGCTGGTGAAGTGTGCCTTGAGTTTTGAATAAATCACCAAAAGCAGCCCAACACCATCACACCTCCTCCTCCAGGCTTCATGGTGGGAACCACACATGCAGAAACCATCCGCCCACCCACCAAAGTCCAGATTTCCATTGGTCTAATGTCCATTCCTTGTGTTTCTTGGCCCAAAGTTGTTCATCCTCAGTGGTGGCGTCTTTGCAGCAGTTCCTTGACTCGTGCCGTCTCCTCTGAACAGCTGACGTTGACATTCTATTCTGAGGTGTTGTTAATACTGAACCCTTTGTCTTCCTTTTCTGGGGCGGTCCTCATGAGAGCCAATCTCATTGTAGTGTTTGACGGTTTTTGCGACTGCACGTGAGGATACATGCTAACCCCACCTCTGCACAACCCAACAAACACATTAGGAAGGCAAGTAATTCCACGAATGTCAACATCAACTGTTCAGAGGAGACTGCATGAATCTGGCCTTCGTGGTTGAGTTACTACAAAGACGCCACCACTGAGGATAAACAACTTTGGGCTAAGAAACACAAGGAATGGACATTAGACTAATGGAAATCTGTACTTTGGTGGGTGAGTGGATGGTTTCTGCATGTGTGGTTCCCACCATGAAGCCTGGAGGAGGAGGTGTGATGCACAGCGGATAGCGCTATCTGACTACTGTTGTAATCCACAGTATGGCAGCAACCGCTCGACTCAGTAAAGAGAAACGACAGTCCGTTGTCACTTTAAGACATGAAGGTCAGTCGATCAGGAAAAGTTCAAGAACTTTCAATGTGTCCTCACGTGCAGTCACAAAAACCGTCAAACACTACAATGAGATTGGCTCTCACGAGGACCGCCCCAGGAAAGGAAGACAAAGGGTTCAGTATTAACAACACCTCAGAATAGAATGTCAACGTCAGCTGTTCAGAGGAGACGGCACGAGTCAAGGAACTGCTGCATAGATGCCACCACTGAGGATGAACAACTTTGGGCCAAGAAACACAAGGATTGGACATTAGACCAATGGAAATCTGGACTTTGGTGGGTGGGCGGATGGTTTCTGCATGTGTGGTTCCCACCATGAAGCCTGGAGGAGGAGGTGTGATGGTGTTGGGCTGCTTTTGGTGATTTATTCAAAACTCAAGGCACACTTCACCAGCATGGCATTCTGCAGCACCATCCCATCTGGTCTACTGGAACCATCATTGGGTTTTCCAACAAGACAATGAACCCAAACACACCTCCAGGCCATGTAAGGGCTACTTGACCAAGATGGAACATGATGGAGCCTCAACAATCACCCGACCTGAACCCAACTGAGATGGTTTGGGATGAGTTGGACCGCAGAGTGAAGCAAAAGCAACCAACCATTCCAGGAGTCGACCTCATGAAGCAGATTGAGAGAACGCCCAGAGTGTGTCATCAAAGCAACGAATCTGAAACATGTTCTGGTTTGTTTAACACTTTTTCGTTTACTACATAATTCCACGTGTTGTTTCACAGTTTTAATGTCTTCAGTATTAATCTACACTGTAGAAAATAATCAACATAAATTTAAAAAACCATTGAATGAGAAGGTGTGTCCAGGCTTTTGACTAGTATTTTTTATGAGATGCTGCCAATCATCCATCTTCTATGAATTCAGATGATCCCACACGGTGAAAAACAACAACAATGAAACTCCAGCTGCTGAATAAACTGTGTGCTGTTTGGTTTATACTTTACTGCACCAAAGTAATGAGATTAAAGATGCCAAAATGCACTGTACACTTTCTTTTTTTTTTTTTTACTAATTTGTAGTTCCCTATGAAACTGATACAAACATTTTGTGTGCATTTCCATCATTTTTTAAAGTCTGTCTTTGCTTCCCCTAAAATATATTTTTAAACTTACTGTCAGTTCCAACAGTGTTTCCCTTAATCAGGTAAAAATTACTGCAATCCTGCAAAAGAAGAAAAAAAACACACAAAAAGGGAAGCAACGTGACCCACAAAGACACAGTGAAGCCGCCGCATCACATGCAGAGCTCGGTGGGAGGGTTCAGATATAGAAGCTGCCGAATGCGACCGTTAAACCTCATTAACTCTGATCCACCATGAAGCTGCTGCAGGTGGCGTTTCCTCTGTGGACGCTGATCGGCGTCACGCTGCAGGTAAGAGACTGCAGGTTAAAAAAAACAAACAAAACAAAACATGCAGGTCTGTTTAAACCTTATTGCAAACCTTTGTAATTTCACTTTTCAGGCTCCATCACGAGACAAATGCATGTGTGAGCTGAAGAACTCGGAGAAGGCCTTTCCTCACGACAAGCTGAACATGGTGGAGAAGAACGCCACCGTCTGCAACGGCAAAGTGACGCCGCAGAAGGTCGGAACAGTTTTATGGCTTCATAAACCCAAAGTCTGATTTAAAAACGAGAAAACAGCAGCGTTCTTAGCTTGAAATGGAAAAATTGTCCAAGTAATGACACTAAAACAGTTTGCTGCATTTGATTTTCATATTATGGACTCTAGAAAATGGAAAAAAATGACCCCTGTTTAAAAAAATTAAGTATAATAGCTCTTGTAGCTTGATCAGGAGTGGTAGAAATTCATCACATGGTTTTCATGAAATTCACAATAAAAAATGCATTTTTTCTTTTATCCCCATTGAAATGAATGGGAAGTCGGCCCAACAGCTTCCAAAACCATCCGTCTGTGGAACCCTGCAGCTCCGACAGATTTTGCAGCAGAAACTTCATTCAAAGTTTAAACGACTCACAAGGCTTTTATTGTTCTTCTTCTAAATCTGCATTTTGATATCTTTCACGGTTTTTGCACAGCCGTGGTTTAAGTTTTAGGAATTCTTTTGAAATTCCTTCAGCTGGAGCGAGTGAACATTTTGATGAGAACATTTGTAGGAAAAAGGTTCGTCTCCTTCTCACAGTTTCTCCTCCACATGAACAACTCATGCATAGAAATGTGGGTATTTTTGTTCTCTTCCATCCAGTGTGAGTCTCATCGCTGTAGGACTGATGGTTTTTCCATAAACCACCTCAGAGCTCAGAGAGTGTCGACCAAAACTCTCACTGACTCCCATCATATCTGAGCTCTGAGATGTTGGTGAAAACCAGAAACAGAGGGTGTCTTTAACCTGCCACCAAATCCGTATAAAACTCAGCATGGACATGAAAATACATCAAAATGTTCACAACAAGTTTGTGCTTCACACGCTGAAAGAATTTCTTCAATAGGACTTCTAGTTTCTGAGCTGTGACGGTTTGTTCGAGGCTCTAATCCTCAGTCTGCTCTGCTCACTGCAGCAGCCAGAGACTCACAGCTGATTGGCTGATTGATGCTCTTTCAAAGTAAAAGCTCAAAGATGTTAAAAGGAACTGATTGGGGGTTAATGAAACATGAGTTTCAAATTAAAATGCACTTATATAATTTATGCCTTGTGTATAACTATAGCAGGACATGTTGATGCTGTGTTTACACTGCTGTTGGTTTAAAATGGGAAAATTAGCAACGGGCCAGTTTTTTATTTTGTTGTTTCTGGTATTTGACTGATGAATGGATCTTACTTCAGAACTCAGAGCGGATGAACTTGATGAACCTGATGAATGTGCTGCGTCCGTGCAGGCCGAAGAACTGGAGGTTCTGCTGCTGGGTTTGGACCGACGTCTGGCCCAGCTGCATGAAGACGTGTCGGTCCTGGAGAAGGAGGACGACGGAGATCTGTACGGAGTCCTCAGCCTGCACGTCATCCACAACGAGATGACGGAGATCCGGCTGCTGCTGGACAAACTCAACGCAACCACAGAGGAGCATCACAGACTCACTGCTGACACCGAACGGCAGGTAACACAACACAACACAACACAACACCACAATACAACAGGTAACAACACAACACCAGACAGCAGGGAACACAACACAATCCAACACAACAGGTTTGTTCTACATTGATCAGAGAAGAAGCTTCAGGTCCAAACCTTCTGTTGCAGGTTTGGACCCGAAGATGTTTTAGGAGATGCTGAACCTGCTGCTCAGACTACGATACATCCCATAATACTGATGCTTACGGTTACAGAGAAAATAAACAGAAACCAGATCCAGTGTTCAGACTGTGACACCTGGATGGATGTAGAACTGATCTGGTGTCAGGTTCTAGCAGAACCCAGATGTGTTCTTCCTCCTAAATGTCATGTGTCTATCTGCTGAACTGATGAAGTTCTGAGGCTCAGAAATGATGGAAAAAGTCCATTAAGGTGATAAATCTGGAGCCTCCTCTAAATAATAATAATAATAATAATCACAGTGTGAAGGTAGAACTCTGCTCCATTCAGTAAAGTTACTGGAGATACAGAACCAGCTGGTTCTGAGGAGGTTCTGGTTTCATATTCGGTCCTTCAGTTTCCTGCTAAGAGGCTGAAACCTTCATGATCTCAGTTTAAAGACACTGAGTCTGTCTTTGCTGCCATCTAGTGGTCAACAAGTGTGAAGCAGCAGAAAAAATAAAACCCACCATCACACCAACAAAGAAACTTTAATGTTAGAAAGTTTTAAAGCGTTTGGACATTACAGAGACTCTGACTACTTTAGATGTTTGAATTTAAAATTAAAGCTTTCAATAGGACAAAATTAACGACTGACTTTAACTTCTAGTTTACTGATTTAAGCTGTTTTTACTGCACTCTAAAATAATGTTTGGGCTCAACACACAAAAAATAACAGTTTGCACCAATTTATTTTAAATTATTATTATTATTTTAATTTTGACAACTTCCAATGAAACTGTGTTCAACTAAAACCATGCAATCAGGTATTTTTCATTTTTTTTCAATGATTTGCAGCATAAACACATATTTTTAAGCTGATTACTTATAAAGAAAAACAAAAAATAAGTTCTTCCAACTAGTATTTCCATGTTATTTAATAATATTTAAATTGTACATAGTTAATGACAATAATTAGGAACACAGGTTTTTAAACTGACAACCAAAAAAAAAAAAAAAAAAACTTGCTCCAATTAGATTTTCTTCAGTAGTTTTCAGTCGTCTGTACACTGAAAACATTTTTTTAAATCAAAATATTTGATTTCATTTATTTCTCAACATCCATTTTGTTTTTATAAATTAAAAACGTATCTAATAATGTGTTGTGTATCTGCTATTTTGGCTACACAAGCAACACAAATTGGCTTTTTTCCATCTCTCAGCTGGACGAGCTGAAGACTGAGATGCAGGAGCTGGAGACGTTCGACTCCATGCAGGTGGTGAAGGGACGAAGAACCAACCAGCGCCTGAGGACGGACCTGAACCACTGCTTGGATAAACAGAACGCCACGTTGGCGCCGACCCAGCCTCCGTACGGTGAGTCCAGCGCCGGTCAAACCTCAGTGGTGGGTTTGCTCTGCTGTGTTTGACTCCGCAATGTCTCCTCAGGTACATGTTCTCGGGGTCCACTTAAGAACATCACCGGGCCGGTGGTCCAAACAACCGGAGAGTATGGGGGCTCGTATCCGTACGGAGCTTGGGGTCGGGATCCCAGACCCGAGCCGGGGAAGGAGCGCTGGTACTGGATGGTGGCGATGACGGCCAGCAACAGATACGGCCACTACGTCCGCCTCTACCACAGTCTGTACAAGCTCATCGGAGGGGAAACCAACATCGGTAAGAACCCCCAACATGGCGGCTTAAAAATCCAAAACACCATTTATCAGCCAGAAAGTGTGAAAACAGAAAAAAAATCTGATTTTTATTCTTACAACACCCTGTCAAATAAATGATTGTGTCAGTATTCACCTCCTTCACCTCCTCCCAGTTAAATCCATGATTAAGAAATGGAAGGAATATAGGACATGAGTAGATCTGACTAGAGCAGGATGTCCTCAGAAACCTTGTGACCGAGCAAGAAAAAGACGAGTGAGGGAGGCCACCGAGACACCTATGACTCCTCTGAAGGAGCTTCAGCAGCTGAGATGTTAGAGGCTGTTCATAGATTTGTTTTCCAGCAAGACAATGAGCCGAAACAAACAGCCAGAACTACACAGAAATGATTTTAAAGACAACAACGTGAATGTTCTGGAACCTTCAAGAGGCGGGAATACTTTCCATGAAGAAAGTACTAACGAATACCTGATGATTCAATGATACTTTATCTCCTTGCAGCGAACGTCCTGATCCACTCCGCCAACCCGACCACCAACACCATCCAGGGTCCGAATGTGGTTCTGTATGGAGGTGCTCTGTACTACAACTGTTACAACCAACGCCAAGTTTGTCGATTCCACCTCGCCACCAAAACCGTGACCAATGTATACCTGCCCGAAGGCACCAGGTGATCTGCTCAGCTTCAGCTTATTATTTGAAATGGATGAGTCAGAATTCTGGTTTTAGGAAAAAAACGTGCATAAAAGCATTCATAGCAAGACTACCTCTACCTTTACGAGCCTTCCAAGCATCCCCACACGATGCTGCCACTACCATGCCTTACATGATGATGCTGCCACCACCATGCGTTACATCAGGGGTCTCCAGTCCTGGTCCTCGAGGGCCACAATCCTGCATGTTTTAGATGTTTCCCTCTTCCAACACACCTGATTCAAATGATCAGCTCATCACCAAGCTCTGCAGAAGCCTGATAACGATCCTCAAACATCTAAAACATGCAGGACTGTGGCACTCGAGGACCAGGATTGCCCACCCCTGCTTCACGTCATGATGTTGCCACCGCCACGATTCACATCATGATATTTTCAAAGTGTTTCTTTCCACAACTGAAACATGACTTCTGTCCTCAATTTTAGGTACAATTCGAAGGGTAACTTCTGCCACCTGGACGAGTGCTACCCGTACACCGACCTGGACCTGGCCACTGATGAGTCTGGGGTCTGGGTGATCTACACCACCTCCCAGGACTTTGGGAACCTGGTTCTCACCAAGCTGGAAGATGGTGAACCACCGACACTCGGCCAAACCTGGCGCACTTCGGTCTACAAACAGGGGGTGACCAACGCCTTCATGGCCTGCGGCGTGCTCTACGTTACACGCTACATTAGCAAAGACAAGGAGGAGATCTTCTATTCGTATGACACGGCAACAGGGAAGGAGAGGTTCAACATCGGCATCCACATGAACAAGATCTCCACCAACATCCTGTCCCTGAACTACAGCCCTGTGGACCAGATGCTACACACCTACAGTGACGCCTACATGGTCTCTTACAAGGTTCGGTTTGGCTAAATGGAAGCTTGTTTTTTTTTTTAAAAAGTCTGAATTTAAATATTACCTGTGATGTTCATGAATGGGGCAAGAAGTGGAGAGGAATGACCTTTGCTATACATGATCGATGAAAACAGTAAATCCTGATTATGTTCATGTGGTGTCGTCTTTGTCTTTCACCGTTTCCATTCAATAAATTCACTCCTTTCTGCTCTGGTGTTTTAGTTTGTGGTGAGCAGCATCGAAACCCTTATTTCAATTAGTTACTGAGCACAGCTGCTGTCAGACATCCTCCGAAACGCAAAATCACAAAAACAAGACACAAAACAACACAAAGGAGTGACAACAAGACAAAAAAAATAAAAAGAAGACAAACGAGACACAAAACAACAAATAACAATAGGACAAAAATGAGACACAAAACAACACAAACAAGTGACAAGACAGGAAATGATTTTAAAAAAGACACAAAATGGACACAAAGCAGAAACGAAACAACAAACCAGAGACAAAATGACAAAAAGACAGACACAACAAGTCTCTAAAGCCATTTCACAGCAACTGTTTTCTTACCTGAGCAGCAGGTTTCGTGATGAAGCTGCAGACTGGAGCTCTGCTGGTTCTGAAACTCACTGGTTTCTCTGGTTTCTATTTTGCTTTTGTTCCATCTGTTTCTCTCCTCCACCTGCACAACAATCCAATCAGCCTCTTCCGTCATCACACCTGTGCTGATTAAGCCCCGCCCACTGACCCTCCACCTGGAGCACCTTAAGCTCCAATCAAGTCGTTGTTATTTACACAGAACATTTAAAGCAACAGACGCTCAACAAACGATGGAAAAGGAGATTGGCAGGTTGAAATATTGAGTTGAAGGCCCCACAGTGTTATTTATGGTGTGAATTTAGGGATAAAAATGAACGAAAATACGACTTCACCTCACATTCAAGTATAAGTCAATCCCCTACAGTGTTGTTTCCTAAAGAGATGAACCTGACTCGTTAAATATAAGACCAATACAACAAAGTGTTGTTAGTTACAACAATCACTCCACAGACTGCCCGTGAGCACACTTTAGGTTTTTGAAAGATATTTTTATGTGTATCATTATTATGTGTGTAATTTAATTTATTTTAATTTTAATAAACCCAACATCTGATTCGTTGACTTCATTCACTGAAACCCTGATGTCCAAGTTTAAGTTATGATCTTTTTCTGTCATATTCTGTTATATTTTTGTTTCACTGAAGCACATGTGGTAACTGTGTACAAACAACATGACCTCTACCATCAGAAATACATGATTATTTTGACTGTAAGTAAATTATTCCTTTAAACAATCATGACAAAATCTACTGGGTCAAACAATACATTTACAGCAATTTGCACCATAAGCGTTGCTGATGTGGAAAGTTGTGGTAATCTGTTTTTTTTTTTGTTGGTCAGCATAAAGTTCATGGTCCAGTTGTGTTACTGCCACCATCAGGAAGGAAACACAAACTA